ATATATATTCGAAAATAAAAACTTCAATTAAAAAAATGCAATTAACTATAAAACTACACGCTATACGGCTTTTAATATTCAATTATTATCTAAAATTTTAACTGCAATTCATATTCGATTAAAATTGTATTAAAAATAATTGAAATTCTTTGATGATTTTTATTATTTATGAAAATAATTGAATAGTTGTTAACAATTTTGCAAAAAAATTTCAAAAATAATTGAATTCCTGAGAAATTTTTATTATTCTTAAAAAAATGGAACTGTTACGAAGATTTTTACATACAATTTTTAAATAATTGAATTTTGTTTGGAAATTTTATAAAAATAGTAGATATTGAAAATCATTGAAAAGTGAAAAGTTTTTAAAAATAATTGAATTCTTGTAATGAATATTGTTATTTACGAAAATAATTGAATTCTTCCAAAGAATTTAAAAAAACATTTTTTTTAAGTAATTGATTTTCTCGAGGAATTGAAATTAAATTTTTGACAATAATTACATTTTTTAAAGCAATTTCTATAAAATTTTATTAAAAATAATTGAAATCCGTTAATGGATTTTGTTATTTATGTAAATAATTGAATAGTTGCAAAGAATTTTATTAAAATTTTCAAAAATATTTGAATTCCTGAAAAATTTATATTATTTATTTAAAATAATTGAGTTATTGCAAAAATTTTTATTAAAATGTTTAAAAAGAATTAAATTATTGTGAAAAATTTTATTATTTTTGAAAATAATGGAATTCTTCATAAGAATTTTATAAAAATTGCTTTAAATAATTAATTTTTTCGAAATGTAAGAAATATTATGAAAATTTTATTTTAAATAATTGGATTCTTCTGGAAAACTTTATTTTTGAAAATAATTGAATTTTTCGATTAATTGATTTAAAATAGTATTGAATTTGTAAATAATTGAATTCCTGTTAAATGTTTATTATTTTATGAAAATAATTAAATTTTTTTTAAATAATTAGATTGTTTTGGAAAAATTTTATTAAAATAGTAGACATTGAAAAACATTGAAATGAGGAACATTTTTGAAAATAATTGAAATTTTGTCAAGAATTTTATCAAAATTTTTGAAAATAATAGAATTTCGGAGAAGAATTTTATTATTTATAAAGATAATAGAAATTTTTACCAGAATTTAAAAAAATTTTTGAATATTTTTTACTAAAAATTTGTAAAACTAATTGTGGGCTTTAAAAATATTGTTCAAGAGTATTTCAAGTCTTGATGAAAAAAATTCCCTGACTTTCGAAAAAATTCCCTGACATTTCCAGGTTTTTCAGGACATTTTTAATTTCCCTGACATTTCCCGGTTTTCCAGGTTTTCCAGGTGTTGTAGACACCCTGAATTTATACACTGATTATCCTATCTCTGATTATAATAATTTTGTAGAACTTGTTGGCATGTCAATTAAAACAACATGTCCTCAACGGAAAAACGCTCCCACAAATAAGAATGCTACCTCTTACAGAAAACCTTTTGTTCCTCCACCTTGGTAGGACAATAAATGCGATGAAACAATTAATAATAGAAAAATATCTTTTAAAAATTATAAGAAGTTAGCTAATTACTCAAATTTTCTTAATTATTAAAAAGCGGAAGCCATAGCTAAGCACACGCTTTGTGAGGCTAGACGTCAATCTTTTAAAAACTTCTGTGATTCCCTGGACAGACATATTCCTTTAACAAAAATATGGGCCATAATAAAGTCTTTTAAAAACCGATTTACTCAACCTGCAACAGCTTCATGCTCAGCAGATAGAGAAACGAATAAACGATAGATAAACTCCACTCCCTTGTGGATGATCTCTATCCTCCTACGGTATTCCACAACAACTTTCCAAATAATTTCGATAATAACCCATTTCTTAAATCACCCTTTTCTTTATCAGAACTCTCAATAGTAATTAAATCTTATAAAACTAAATCCTCCTCAGGCCTTGATAAAATTGATTTTTATATATTATTCAACATTTTCCAGAAAAGTTCCTATCACCCTTCTTATTAATCTTTAATAGAATCATTTCCAGTGGAACTTTTCCTCCTTCGTGGAACAATTTTTTTATCTTTTTCCTTTCAAAATTCTCATCTTCGCCTGGTAAATTTTGACCTATTTCTTTAGCCTCTTGTCTCTTTAAAGTCACAGAAAAACTTATATATAATAGACTCACTTGGCTTATAGAACGCGATAAAATCCTTAGTCCTTATCAATTCGGTTTTTGGAAAAGCAAATCTTGTACGGATAACCTTGCCTTAATCTCGACAGAAATTTTGTCCTCTCTAAATTTGAATTAGTGAAAATTTCACTATTTGATTCAGTTAATGTAGTTGTCACTGGAAAATAGCGAATTTCACTTCTGAATTAGTGAAAATTTCGCTATTTGATCAGTGAATGTAGTTGTCACTGGAAAATAGTGAATCCCACTTTTGAATTAGTGAAAATTGCGTCTGCGCATAAATCCACTGTCTCTCGTCGTTTAGTTGCGTCTTGTTGACAGTGAAACTCGTGAGTGAATCGTTTAAACCGAGGAAATTGATAATTTGTGAGGAGATTTATAATTGAGGGGACGGATTCTAAAAGGGGATACGCGTGGATTCACGCGTTTAAGTTTTGTCCACTAGGTCCATTTTTGAAACTATTACAAATTTCAATTTGAATTACTGAAGTTTGTAGAGAATGAAAATGCGCATCTTTTTTCTTTAAGAAATAAATTTATATCTTTTTTAGTTTATAAAATAATGAGAAAAAACTAAATTTTTGAAAAACAAAAAATTTAAATGTTTTACGTCTTTAACTCGTGCTGGCGTTTTTGATTTTTCATATTTTGTAATCAAACAAAAACGAACTTACAGATTAAGACTTCCTGAAACCAACTATACTTTTAAAACAACAAAATCTTAATTAATAAAAAGTTTATTAATTTTTTCGAAAGACGTTGCAAAAAATGTGTTTTTCCAACTTTCAACGCTTCGTTTATCGAGGAAATTTTAAGGTACAAAAAACTTCCAGTGACAAAGTTTTTCATTACTATACGGACAAGTTTTCTGTAAAATTTTATTAACATGATATGAATGCTTACAAAGTTATTAATGTTTAAAGCGTATGGTGCGTCAGATTTCTCGCGCCTCGAACACATTGAGTCCCAAGGTGCGCGTTTGTAACAAATTAAGACTATTTTAGTTTATTCATTTGTTTACTTAAAAAAATACAATTTTTAATGAAGTCACAGATAACTTTTTGGAATCGCAGTTTAGTTAAAAACGATTATTTATTATTAAAAAGTAACTATGTAATAATAATTAGCCAAAATCGTCTGAAGATAGTTAAAATTGACTGACATACAAATAATTAATGCATAGTTATTTTGTCATAAATTTAATGTTAATTAAACTAATAATTGTTGATTAAGAATAGTAAAAATATTATTATTTTAGTTATTGACTAGTTTTTTGCTATCAAAGTAATTATTTTTAAATAATATTTAACTATGAGATTATGACGATTCGTCTAACATTATATAAAAGTAGCATCAGTTTATTTATTTTAACATGTATTCCTAAGTAAAAAACATAAGAAATATTTTTTTTTTTAATTGCAGAATTATTCGCAAAATAAATTGTACAATAATTCTATATTTTCTATATTCTATATTGACGTTAAAACATATTGCTCTCTCATAGAGGAAGTATTTTTATTCTATTTATATCTGTATTTTGTCAGACATTTTCATAAAATAGAATTTTTTTGGATATCATGTGCACTTTTCGAGGAAGTAACCCTTTTTTAAATGCTATTTTCCTCAAACTTGTGATTTGTTTTCACTCTACGGGAAAATATGGTATCCAGATGGGTCGCGGCTGCCGTGACCGTTGACTGAAAAAAAAGGGTTCGGAAAAACCCAATACAATTTTCCCAGGATTTCGAGATTTTTTTATCACAATTGAGAAAAAATTATGGCCATCTTGGTCAAGAACCGGACCAAGAAGTAATAATCCCGAAAAATGTTAAAATCAGTGAAAGCTACGCAATTCAGTATTTACCAGAATCAAGTATAAATACTTTTGAAAACTATAGATTACAAAATCCTTCCGCTTTCAAAATTGAATCAAAATGAATGATGTAAAAAGTTTTGTACGATATCTTTCTCCAAACGGACAGGAGTTTTTTAATAATTATTTTAAAAACATGAAATGTAGTAAACGAGGTCATTTTGACAAAGAGTGGAAGCCTTAAACTAAATAAAACAAGAAAGTTAAATATAAGAAATATTATTGTAGTTGAGTTTTTTATACATAACAAAATAATACATTTATGTTAAAAATAAATTTTATTAAATTTTATTTACTGCGAATATTAATATTGACAAACACATTTTCAACGCGTTGCAAACGAACACCTTGGGACTCAATGTGTTCGAGGCGCGAGAAATCTGACGCATCATACGCTTTAAACATTAATAACTTTGTAAGCATTCATATCATGTTAATAAAATTTTACAGAAAACTTGTCCGTATAGTAATGAAAAACTTTGTCACTGGAAGTTTTTTGTACCTTGAAATTTCCTCGATAAACGAAGCGTTGAAAGTTGGAAAAACACATTTTTTGCAACATCTTTCGAAAAAATTAATAAACTTTTTATTAATTAAGATTTTGTAGTTTTAAAAGTATAGTTGGTTTCAGGAAGTCTTAATCTGTAAGTTCGTTTTTGTTTGATTACAAAATATGAAAAATCAAAAACGCCAGCACGAGTTAAAGACGTAAAACATTTAAATTTTTTGGTTTTCAAAAATTTAGTTTTTTCTCATTATTTCATAAACTAAAAAAGATATAAAATTATTTCTTAAAGAAAAAAGATGCGCATTTTTATTGTGTATAAATTTGTGTCATTAAATTTAAAAATTGAAAATGTTTGAAAATCGCACTATTGGTCAATAGTTATACGTGACAATCCACGCGTATCCCCTTTTAGAATCCGTCCCCTCAATTAAAGATTACATTTTATTATTCACCGAAAAATATCATAAAATAAGGTAAGTTAACTTTAAACTTATTAGCAACTATATTTGTTTAACTATATATTTATTACTACTAAAGAACTATACCTAACCTCAAATATCTTTTGTTTTGATTGTTCTATTTCTCTCTAAGATTAAATATTCTTTACTTTTAAATTGTTTATACAGAAGGAAGGGCTCGATACACGTTTAAAATAATAATTAATTTCTGCAAATATAAATTCAATGACTGAGGAAAATAATTACGAAGACAAGTTAAGAAAGTTTGGCGTTTCGGAAGAAACATTGTCTACTTTGAGAGGTTCGTTTCTTAATAAATATATTTTACTGTGCATGTTTTTTTGTTGAAATGATATATATTATTTAAAATCAATTCAACATGTTATTTCAGATTTTTTGAATGTTTAAATGAAATAATATTATTTTCTTTCTGGATAAATATTTTCAAAAATTAGTATAGTATTGTAATGCAAAAAATGTAAATTAAATATTTACTTATTTAAAAAATTCATTTTTTAATTAACATAAAATAATTTTGCATAAAAAATAAAAATTTCTAGTAAATGAGAAAAAAAATTAAGGATCAATAAATAATTTTTTAAATATTTATTTTAGGAGGGGACTAACTTGCCTTATTCAGTCAAGGAATCGGCTTTGAAGTCAAACACGGCTGTTCAGCCATATATTTTGTGCACCAAAGGACAAAATGGGTGCAACACTTATTTTGTCCAAGGAGATGGCTTCTTTCTCAAACCTTCAAACAATGAACCAGTGAATGCTTTCGATTTGTTGTTTAAAGTTTACTTCGCGTTAAATTTATGCTATCCCATTGGTTTACAAAATTTTTTTAATTTTATGGACAGTTATGTCTACGAGGTAAATAATCAACCTCGTGGCATTGTTACATCATTTCACGTAAATTTAACTAATTTAACATTAGACGAAACTACTGAAGGCATGAATCTCTCAGATAATTAGTGCAACACTTGTCATCATTCGTTCGATTATATAATTTTTATTTCTTTGCACTATTTCAGTAATTATATTTCCTATAAATGTAAATTTACAAATAAAATTTGTATTTTTCTTTAAATATATCTTTAATTTTATTTCACTACTACGTGCTTTTCGCTTCAATTTATTTAAAGAAAAATTTTTTTACAAGTTCATTTTAATAAGTTACAAACAATTTTTAATTTTTAAAAAAATATTTTTCTCAAATTCGAAACATCGATAATTTTACTGCAGAGAAATTAAAAATTAAGTTTCTATTAAAAAAGTATTCAATACTTCAGGTAATATTTAAATCATACGATAGATTAATTATTTTTATCAAAAATTTAATTTTTAAATTCAAAATTTCAATAAAAAAATTTTTTTAAAAATTTCGCTACTTAAATCAGTGGAATTTTCACTTATTCAATAAGTGATATTATTTTTCACTGGTTGAATCAGCGAATATTCACTAATTCTCAGTGGTATACTTATCGCTATTTCAAAAAGTGACTATTCGCTGGCAATAAGTGGAATTTCACTAATTCAAATTTAGAGAGTCAGGCTTAGCTCAACGTGAATTTGTTGGTGCACTCTTTTTAGACATAAAGGGCGCTTTCCCTAGTGTAGTTCCAAACATTTTAGTAGAAAATCTTAAATCAATTGTCATTCCGGAATCAATATCTCGCTTTATGTTTATATACAATTCAATAAAATGTAAAAACATATAAGTCAAGATTAATGGCGTGGTTATTGGTCCAAGAACTAGCACTGTTGGCCTTCCACAAGGTAGCATTCTTAGTCCAATTAACTTTGCAATATACACTAGGAATCTGAATACTATTATTCCCGCGGATTGTGAAATTTACGAGTTTGCTGAAGACTTATCAGTTTCATGTCGTTCCCCAAATTTAAATCAAGTAATTAACTCCCTTCAAAACAGCCTTAACTCCCTTTCGGATCACTTGTCTGAGAGACGTCTGGAAGTTTGTCCAGTTAACCCTTTCAGTCCCAGTGGTCGATATATCGACCACGTTTTAAGCCACCGATTTTTTTAACATAACTTACGGGTACACCAACACGAACTTATGTCTGCATGATGCATGCATGCAGAAACATTTGACTGTTCACACCTCAATTTTCTGCTTTCGAAAAATCTTTTTTCTGGCGGGATATTTAAAATTGATTAAAATTTCAAAATAACGTATTACTAATTATTACAATAAAAAATGAAAAAAAAATTGAACGTTTATTATAAGGAATTAATTGTAAATAAATTTCTCTTAATTTGTGGCATATTTTAATATTCTGAATTTTTATTATTATTTAAAATATGCCACAAATTAAGAGAAATTTATTTACAATTAATTCCTTATAATAAACGTTCAATTTTTTTTCATTTTTTATTGTAATAATTAGTAATACGTTATTTTGAAATTTTAATCAATTTTAAATATCCCGCCAGAAAAATGATTTTTCGAAAGCGGAAAATTGAGGTGTGAACAGTCAAATGTTTCTGCATGCATGCATCATGCAGACATAAGATCGTATGGCTGTACCCCAGAGGGAAACTTTAAATAATTGCATATTTCTTATTTTTATGTTTTTACAAATAGGGTTTAGTAGTTTTTTAACAAATTAATCTATATTATTTTTAGGGTTTCGTGGCCAAGGGCCAAGGGCCCTTATAGCGAGACTTCGGTGTCCGTCCGTAGTTCTTACGTCTTAAGTTTTAAGTTTTTTTTTTAAGTCTTATGTCTTAAGTCTTAAGTCTTATGTCTTAAGTCTTGTGTCTTAAGTCTTATGTCTTAAGTCTGAAGTCTTATGTCTTAAGTCTTAAGACAACAAAACAACCGTTGCCATGGCAACCGTTGCTGTGTTAATGGTTGCCATAACAACCGTTGCCATGGCAACCATTACTATGGTAATAAAAAAAATTTTCAATCTTAAGTACAAACAAAATTTCTAAATAAATTATTTTTTTTGTCATTTTATTTGTTATTAACAAACTTATACACGGCAACGCATTATTTCAGGTTAAACTTAACTGTAATAAAATTAAATCAGTAACATATACTTTAAATTATGGTTGTTTTCTAAATTCTCGGGGTTTGCTGAATATTAATCTAAAATCAGATATGCAAATTCAAAATGGTAAATCCAATATGGCAGACAAAAATTAAACAAATTTGCTTGCAAATGGTCTCTCGTGGGTTTTTGGGGTCGCTGATTACGAATCTAAAGTCAGTTTTTAAAAATTCAAAATAGTGGATTCATAAATCCATATGGCGGACATAAAAAGATACGAATTTGGAAACACCCTCCTCTTTTTTAAAGTTAGAAAAACTGACTTCAGATTCGTAATCAGTGATCTAGAAAAAACCTAAGCGGTAATTTTCAAACAAATTTGATGGATTTTTATTTCTTCGTCCAACATATTGTATCCTTCATTTTGAATTTTAATAAACTGACTTTAGATTCAGAATTAGCGACTTCAAAAACCTCCAAATGCCAACTTTTAAGCAAATTTGTTTAATTTTTAAATTTTGTCCGTCATATTGAATCCGCCATTTTGAATTTTGACAAACTCACTCCAGATTTGTAATCAGCGACCCTAAAAACCCCCGAATGAATACTTTCAAGTAAATTTGATTAATTCTTTACTTTATCGTCCGCCATATTGGATCCGCCATTTTGAATTTTGAAAAACTGACTTCAGATTCGTAATCAGCAACCCAAAAAACCCCCGAGAGACAATTCTCAAGCAAATTTGTTTAATTTTTAAATTTTGTCTGCCATATTGGATCCAACATTTTGAATTTTGAAAAACTGACTCCAGATTCGTAATCAGCGACCCCAAAAACCCCTGAGTGCCAACTTTCAAGTTAATTTGTTTAATTTTTGTCCGCCATACAGTAAGAAAAGCTATCCGTCAGTCATAGGAAAGTATGGGAATCGCATAAGTCTGTCTCACTCCCACTCATGGGATATGACTTACGTGGTAGGTTTTCGTACTGTATTGGATTAGCCATTTTGAATTTTCAAAATTTTGAAAATCTGATTCCAGATTCGTAATCAGCGACCCCAAAAACCATAGGTACCATTCCTATTGTAGATATTTTTTAATTGCCCTAATTATGGGACTGAAAGGGTTAAAACCAAATTTGTTATCTTTAATAATGAAAAACTTGATCTAAATGATCCAACCCTTACATTATCTTTAAATAATCTTATTACTAATCCATGTCCTTCAGTTAAATATCTCGGGATACACTTTCATCAATCTTCCTCCTCTGATACTCATTTTAACTATTTGTGTGATAAAAGTAGAAAAATTTTAAATGTAATAAAAGTGCTTCGAGGTACTTGGTGGGGAGCAGATCCTTAACTTTTACTTCGCATTTTTGACTCACTAATTAGAAGCCCTATTGATAATGGTTCACAAGGCTCTAACTTTAAGTCTCATAAAAATTTTTCGAGATTAGAAAAGATTCGTAACCAAGCTCTGCGACTAGCCATAGGCTACAGACAGAGCACCCCAATTAACGTAATGCTTGCAGAATGTTGTGAACTCCCTTTAAGTAGTAGATTTAAATTTAAATTTTTAAAACTTTTCAATATATTTTAAACAAATCATTTTTTACGTACTCAATATTGCATATATTTTATTTCTGGGGGTGTGAAAGTATTAAAAAAATTGTTTGTAAGATTACAAATTGTTATAAACAAATTAGATAAACAATTACACTCTACGCAAAGATGACTAAAAGAAATTAGTTTTTTTTATAAATTTACAGCAGCTTATTGATATTAATTTTTTTAATGAAACTAATGTTTTGCGATAATTTTTCTTAATTATTTAAACAATTTTAATAAACAATAATATTGTAGGGACACTTTTGGACAGAAATAAATCGATTTTTTAAAATTTATTTTTCTTCTAAGCCGTTCAGATATTATCTTTGTGAAATGTCCCTACAATGCTATTGTTTATTAAAATTGTGCAATTCCACGCCACTTCGACAGCGTTTTTGAGTAAGCAAATGGATTTTAATTAAACTCAGGGATTGTAATCTATACATAAAAAGAAATATTTTCACCAAAAATGAAGTCATCATTAAAATTCTTGATAATTCAATTATTTATAAAAAAATTTAAAAATTTTTTTTTTTTTTTTTTTTTTTTTTTTTTTTAATTAAAACTCTTCAAAAGTTGATTTTTAAAAATTTAAACAAAATATTTGAAAAAATTTATTTTCAATTAAATTTGGGGCGGTTGTTGTTGCCTACAATTTCACTATGCCTACAGGGGAACTGCACACACTAAATTGCACAAAATAAAAGTGAATACGGGCTAATTTTTTAATAAAATTTTTTTAATTAAAATTATAAACTGCATACAATTAAACTGCACACGGAAAAATTGTTACGGCCCTGAATACTCCATCGCCCTTTCTTTCTATGAATGAAAAAAACCACCTTTAAATGTGCAAATCCAAACTTTAAAGTAAAAAAAATGAGATTATAGATTGTTTTTTAAAACAGAACAATTTCTAAGATTACAAATTGTTATAAATAAATTGTATAAACAATTACACTCCATGCAAAGATGTGATTAAAAATATTTGATTGTTTTATAAATTTACTTCAGCTTATTGCGATGAAACTTTCTTTTAATAAAATTGATGTTTTGCAATAATTATTCCTCATTATTTAAACAATTGAATCATACGGACATTTTTAGGCAGAAATAAATCAAATTTATTACGACTAATGTTTCTCCTAAGCAGCCTAGAGATTATCTTTACGAAAAAGTTATTTTGCAAAAAACATAATCATTTTTATAAACAAATTATATAAACAATAACACTTTAGGCGCAGTTGTGTCTAGAATAAATTGGTTATTTTTATAAACTTACTGCAATTCTACGCCACTTCGACAGCGTTTTGGAGTAAGCAAATGGATTTTAATGAAACTCAGGGATTGTAATCTATATATAAAAAGAAATATTTTCACCAAAAATGAAGTCAAAATATTCGCTACTTTTTGAGATAGCAAAATTTTGAAAAAATTTTGAAATCGTTATATCTCCCATAAAACTTTATAAAAACTAAACATTTTTTTTTTCAAAAATTCAGGATGAAAAAACGAAAAAAAAATGTTAATAATGTTTATATAAAATTTTGTTAATTAAAAAAGTTATTTAAATAATTTTACTTAACTTTTAAGCGGCCAGTTCAAATTCTATTGTTTAAAGAGAAAAATATGCGCGCGCAGCCTATGTCGTCTGTTTGTTGTATGTAATATTGTTTGAGAGCAAAATAAAATGTTTAATAACTTGAAAATTTCTTGGTGATATATAAGTTTTCTTTCGGAATATTAAATATTAAACAATCAAGTTAATTTTTCTCTTTAAACAATAGAATTTGAACTAGCCGCTTAAAAGTTAAGTAAAATTATTTAAATAACTTTTTTAATTAACAAAATTTTATATAAACATTATTAACATTTTTTTTTCGTTTTTTCATCCTGAATTTTTGAAAAAAAAAATTTTTAGTTTTTATAAAGTTTTATGGGAGATATAACGATTTCAAAATTTTTTCAAAATTTTGCTATCTCAAAAAGTAGCGAATATTTTGACTTCATTTTTGGTGAAAATATTTCTTTTTATATATAGATTACAATCCCTGAGTTTCATTAAAATCCATTTGCTTACTCCAAAACGCTGTCGAAGTGGCGTAGAATTGCAGTAAGTTTATAAAAATAACCAATTTATTCTAGACACAACTGCGCCTAAAGTGTTATTGTTTATATAATTTGTTTATAAAAATGATTATGTTTTTTGCAAAATAACTTTTTCGTAAAGATAATCTCTAGGCTGCTTAGGAGAAACATTAATCGTAATAAATTTGATTTATTTCTGCCTAAAAATGTCCGTATGATTCAATTGTTTAAATAATGAGGAATAATTATTGCAAAATATCAATTTTATTAAAAGAAAGTTTCATCGCAATAAGCTGAAGTAAATTTATAAAACAATCAAATATTTTTAATCACATCTTTGCATGGAGTGTAATTGTTTATACAATTTATTTATAACAATTTGTAATCTTAGAAATTGTTCTGTTTTAAAAAACAATCTATAATCTCATTTTTTTTACTTTAAAGTTTGGATTTGCACATTTAAAGGTGGTTTTTTTCATTCATAGAAAGAAAGGGCGATGGAGTATTCAGGGCCGTAACAATTTTTCCGTGTGCAGTTTAATTGTATGCAGTTTATAATTTTAATTAAAAAAATTTTATTAAAAAATTAGCCCGTATTCACTTTTATTTTGTGCAATTTAGTGTGTGCAGTTCCCCTGTAGGCATAGTTAAATTGTAGGCAACAACAACCGCCCCAAATTTAATTGAAAATAAATTTTTTCAAATATTTTGTTTAAATTTTTAAAAATCAACTTTTGAAGAGTTTTAATTCAAAATTCTTAAAAATAATTGAATTATCAAGAATTTTAATGAAAAATATTTAAATGCAAATTTAAAAATGAAAATTAATAAACAAATTAGCTTCTAATTGATTGAAATTCAATATTTTCAGTATTATTTTTAATTATATATATTTCTGAAAATTCTACTATACATACAAAAAATAATTACATTTTAGAATTGTTTTTAACATTTTAAAGAAAAAAATCTTGTTAAAAATTTTTAATTAAAATTCATCAAAAAATTAATTAGTTTTTTTAATTTAGGGGAGAGTGGGGCAAAATGGGGTACCTTTTTGAAATTGGCTGTTTACAGAGAACCAAACGAATAAATCGATTCAGCTAAACTTCAGAATTCTTCTTTGTACACTTAGCTTTGAGGAAATTATGATAATAGCGGAGAAAAAAATTTTTGAAAGAACTTATATCGTATTTTCTAAGAAAGTGCTAAAATCCCATTTTGCCCCACCCGTGGGGCAAAATGGGGTGGCATCAAATAACTATACAAAACATTGAGTATTTTTTCAAAATTCATTAAATTCTTGTTGTATGAGATTATAAATACAAACAAAAAGTAGGATTCTTTATTACTATGACAAAACAAGTAATATTTATTGGAATTTAACAAAAAAAACATGGATATTGCAAAATATCGATATATCGATAATGAAACATCGATAGTATAAATGCCTCGAAGCAAAAATATCGATTCTTCTGCAGGAAACCTTTAAATATGCATAATATAATGTTTTTAAATAGTTTTAGTGAAACGGCGTAGCTTCCGGCATGCCCCACACTTAGGTACCCCATTCTGCCCCACACTGCATATTAAAACAAAATGCAATGTTTACAAGTTATTGTAAACAATTAAACAATCTATTCTATTGAAAATTACTCTAAAATAAGTACTGAAAAAGATGCCACACTTGCCAAATTAAATGCATTATCCCAAAAAGTTTGGAGAGCACTTTAATTTTGAAAAAAATTCATATTTTTTTTGCTTAAAACTTAAAAGTTGTATAACTTTCAAAAAAAAAATTTTCTTTGGAGTGTCTTCATAATTAATAACAGTTTCTTATCTACATTAATGATATATGTCGAGGAAAAAAAAATTAAAAGTACCTATCATGGAAAAACAGAGGTACCCCATTTGACCCGCCTACCCCATTTTGCCCCACTCTCCCCTATACAAAAATTTTTTTAAGAAATTCAATTATTTTCAAAAAATTACATTAAAATATTTTTACTTAGAAGTCTTTTACCATAATTTTTAAGAATTAAGTATCTTGAAACAAAGTAAATAAAAATTTTTTAAAATTTACTTTTTTAGACTGAAATATTAAAATTTTGGAGGAATTTATTATTAAAATTCTTTAAAAAATTTGATTATTTTTAAAGGATTTTATAAAATTTCAATTATTTAGGAATTTTTAAACTGCATATAATTAAAAAACTATTATCTTTAAAAAATTAAAAAAAAATTTTTTAATTAATTGTAAGAGTTTCTTTATAATTTATTATAATTTTTTGAAAATATTATACCTTAATAACTTTAGAAAAAACATGGACAGTTACAATTATGATAAAAAATTGAGAATTTGTATTTAAATAATGTAATTCTAAAAGAACTTTAGGAAAATTATTTAAAATAATTGATGTAGAGAAGAAATGAAAACCTTCATATTTTCCTGTAAAAAGAATTTTGTCAGGGAAAATAATTTTAATATCAGTAAATTGTCAGGGAAATTGATAAACTGAAACTTGTCACCACTCTCGTTATATTAAAAATTTACCTTAAAAAGTATATTAAAAATCGAAGTAAAGATAATTTTTTAGTTATAACCTTTACCTTAAAAGGACCCCCCGGGTCTTTTTGCACCGGGGCCCCCAAGACCGCCGGTATGGCCCTGGGAGCAATTCTAACATTGTTTCTGATTTGTTGTAGGAGAAGTGCATAAATTTATTGTTCTGCTTTGCATCACAATCTGTTATTTTATTTTTTTACTTTAAACTTTGAATTTGTACATTTTTTAAGGGTAGTTTTTTCGATTTAAAAAAAACAGAGGGTGATGGTGCAATTCTGACTTCACATTCGTTTTCAGCTGGCAAAAATACTATAAGACATGTAGGTCTGGTTTAATAAACAGACCACTTTTATTTTTTTTGTTTAATCGACCAATGACGGTTTCTTAAAGATTTGTTTATTTTCCGATAGATTCTACGAATAGTAAGGTATAATTTCGTTACCGGCAAGAAAATATTAACTGCATCGATGGCCCCGAGCTTTTTCATACTTACTCGCCCGCGAGTTAGTATGAAAAAGCTCGGGGCCATCGGCATGATGAAAATGAAGAACGATCTAATATTTTATTATTCAGAAGATCTAATAAAAAAATTTATGTTTTAACTTAACCAAAGAAATATTTTAAATTATTTTTCTCACATTGTCATTGATGTTTAGATGTTCTTTTTAATAAATTTAATTTAAATTACAAATTAAGTTACATTTTTTAAGCAAATTATTAATTTATTTGTATATTTGTATTTTTTATTTGAATAAGGGACACAAAAATTGAATTTACTTTTCTAAAAAGTTGCATCTTTGACAGTTAGGCTAATTCTTAGAATTTAAAAAACATTTTACTATTACTCATCTAAATCGAAAAGTAAGTTATTTTTCATTGGTAATAGAAAGTTTACTATTCGTAGTAAATGATTTAATCGTTAATTTATTAGGTAAAAATAAAATAAGTTTTACTGACGATCATTATTTTTAATTAAGGGTTTATTTGATAACCGTTTAATAAAGAATAATAAACTTGGAAATTATCTCCTTTTATAAATACATGTAACAAAAAAATAAAATCAAAACAATTTGTTTATCATTTTACTTTCATCCCTTATATGATAAATCTAAAGTCAAGAATTGCGAGAATGATAGAATTTAAGGGAGTTTCAGTTTTGTGAAATGGGGCTGAAAATTGCGGGCATGAATATTCGAGGGTGGAGAAAGAGGGAGATTAAAGAAACATCTGGCTTCTGGCAACAGTACCAAATCTCGCTTGCACAGTAAAAATATTTTGTCAAACACTCTCGGGATTTCCGATTACGCTCCTCGCTTATTAACTTTGAAGGCAATCACCTTCTCCGGAAGTGAAAAATCGCTCTATAAAAACTATAGAGAGACAATGACCCAACGCAGGATTAAATGATAAACACCAAATAGATGTAGGGTAATCATCCTTGCAGGATTCATCGCCCGAGACAAGAGGTATCAACAATGGGAGAAGACGAAGAAAAAAGAATTCTATCTCAGGAGAAGGTTGAATTTTTATTTAAAAAAAACTTTTACTCACTTCATGGTTACTTCACTGGAGAGCGAGTGCTAGGCCCTCATACACAGCGTGTTTCTACTTCCGCACAATATCTCACTGATCCCATGAAAACACGCGAGATTCGGACAGGATTTACGAAAACTTGACATAAATAAAACGACACTAACACCACCGTGACACCCTACTGTTACACATCTGGTCGGCCATATTGAAAATTACAGATTATTCCTCCCTTGAATTGTATATGGTGTGCTGCAGGACCCTAAAGGCCATTCTCCAATACCAATTTTCACGCAACACGGTCACAGCTCGGTTGCCTGCGGGGTGCGGGACAGGGGAGGGAAGCATGAATGTGAGTGAGAAAGAGGAGACGTCTTACTAATTTCGGCCTAAATTTTAAAAGTTAGAATAACCATTTGTTAGAATTTTAGAAGTCAGAATGACTTTCTGTTCAAATGCTTATTTGATCGAATTTTAAAAATTCGAATGTCTATTTATTCGAGTTATGGAGCATTTACACCATCTGTAAAAATTGTCCAGAAAGGAAAATTTGCATTGGAGTAAGAGAGTCAGGTACACAGTCTGTCTCTCTCACTCCAATGAAAAATTTTCCGATCGGGAAATTTTCACCGAAGGTGTAAATGCTCCCTTAAGGTGCATTTAAATACGACTATCGGTAGAAAAAAAATTTACCGAAAAAGTCAAAAGCAGCAAAAGCTTTTCCGATGTCATGCTGGGAAAATAGTTTCTAGCGGGAATTTTAAAATTTATATTTTAATATCCAACATATATCTCCGTCTCTCTCGCACTCATGGCCTAGTTACATGGTGTTTTTTACGTATATTACGTATGTAAATTACCTCAAAAATTTCAAACACAATGCATTTTCTTTTGGTGGGGGGTAAAATACATAATTTACAAATGTAAAAAACCATTTAATTTACGTCAAAAACTCTAGAGTTACGCGTAAAGTCCAACGCACAATAGGTTCGTGAAAGTCGTTCGCGAAAGAGACGCATGAGATAGACAAGGATACAAATATATCTCTGTCCTTTTCTAACTCATGCTTTGCGTTCGCGAATGACTTTCGCGAACCTATTGTGCTTAGGCCTTAGGCTGCGGTTACACCTCTGCAGGCAGCCTGCCTGCCTGCAGGTTGTCATGGTAACGTACAAGAGTAAGAGAGTCAGTGACTTCAAACTTCTCCCTTACTCTCGTTGCTCCTTCCTGCGCAGGCAGGCAGCCTGCAGAGGTGTAACCGCAGCCTTAACTGCGCAACCCTGGTATGGAGGAACAGGAGTAAAGGCTTTGGTGGAGCAACTAGAGTAAGGGAGAGAAAACATAATTTGAATTGTCTGACTCTCTTACTCTTATGTGGTTACCATGACAACCTGCAGGCAGGCAGCAACCAAAGGTGAGAGTGCGCCATAAGAAAGAAAGTGCATAAATTTGAATTCACTGACTCTCTTACTCTTGTATGTTACCATGCCAACCAGACAGGCAGGCTGAAGCCTGCAGAGGTGTAACCGCACCTTTATTCAATTCACATGTAGTTATTGTGCACTAGCCTTATACATCACAAGTTGAACAATCTTATTTCCGCCAAATCGTCATATCCATTCGTGTCTGTTATACTACACGCCATTTTTTAACTAACTTGCAAAATAATGCTCCAGTGTGTTTTATGATTAAATTCGTTTTTTCAGCTGTTTCTTTTTACAGTAAAAGTTTATAATATTGTATTGTATTTGTTCATTGTTTCGTCGTGAAAATATCAAAAGAACAGAAAATGGGTGAAGATTACAATGGAGGTAAGTCTGTAAAGCAAAATTGTTTTGAAGCGCGTCCATTGACACAGTATATGGAAATTTGTGCAACTAAAATCCTACAGTATTTCACACAACTAATTTTCATTTATTACAAGTTTTTTCATTTATAGCTGAATCGATAATATGATAATATAGTTATATTTGCTACTTATTTTTTCTACTCTGCTTTTTTAAGTTGAAACGTTTACACGGTAATAATCGGTAAAAATTTTAGAATGTATTAAAAGTTTTATTTATTCTAACCTATATCTAATATTTGTTTTCGTCTTGCTTTTTTGTGTAAGAAAGTAATTTGCAGTTTTTTTTTGTTGTCGTTTCAATTATAATATTTGAAAAGGATTTGTTTCAATGTAAAGTAAAACTATTATTAAAAGTTTAACAATTATTGGGGATTTTTTCAGATCGGGAAAGGGATAAAGACAGAGATCGCGATAGGGATCGAGACAGACGGCACAGATCACGGAGCAGAGAACGTAGAAAGCGTTCACCACGATCACGTTCTAAAGAGCGTCGAGAACGTAAAAGAAGTAGTTCGCCAAAAAAGAATCGTAGCTCTAGGAGAAGAAAACAGTCTCTTTACTGGGATGTTCCTCCACCAGGATTCGAACACATTACTCCTTTACAGGTAAAAATAATTTATAATAAATCTTACTTGGATGTTTTATATTTTCCTATATATTTCGTATTTATTGGTAAGTTAAACAATAATATCTATTAATATTTTTAAGTTTCAGTATTCTTTAAATATATTCAAAGTGTCTATTTGTAAAAAAAAAACTTAAACTTAAAAACAAAAACTTGTTCAAAATGAAAATAAATTTAAGCAAAATTTAGCCCCTCCCGAAAATTTATAGAAGAAAATTGCACTCTCTAAATCGATAAATATCAGGGCTGATAAAAATCATGATTTTAAAAAAAATCAAAACAATCCGATTTTTTATTTAAATCATTTTTTATACAATTTTTTAAATAATTATTTTTAAGTAGTTCGTTTTTTTTAATATTAAAAATTATAAAATTAATAATAATATGGTGACTGCAAAGTTTCATTTTCTGAATTCTCTGACTTTTCCTGACTAATTTTTCATTTTCTCTGATTAAAAAATTTAATAACTAAAAATTTTCTGAAATTAGTTAAATTTTTAAATATAAATTTAATTGATTTTTAAAAATAATGGTCAATGGATTTATAAAAGAATTTTAGTTAAAAACACTAAAACAAATTGAATTTTAAAGCAATTTCAAATGATTGCAGAAGTTCAATTATTTTCAAAAGTAGTAAAATTCTTCTCAAAAATTTAATTATTTTCTACATATTTCATAAAATTCTTGGCAAAATTTTAATTATTTTAAAAAAATTTCCCCAATTCAATGATTTTTAATATCTACTACTTTAACCCTAGAAGGAGTACGTTAATTTACTCACCCTCTAAGGAGTAACTGGGGTGTCCCGACACCCCACTCTTTAAACTTGTTTTATAAGGTTTATATTTGACGTAAAAAAAATTTATTATAATGAATTGATTGGTTTTTTAGTAAGGAATACAATAATATTATTCATATTTTGATAAATTAAAAAAATTTGAAAAAAACCATAAAAACCCAAAAAAAACACAAAAAAATTGCAAAATTGACTATTTTCACAAAAAACGTTGTAGTTTCTTAAAAATTTGACTAATTTAAAGTTTTTAAAGTTAAATAGATACACTTTTAGGGGAAAAAATTAGTTTTTGTATTACTTCCAAAAAACATAATTATTTGAACATCTGAAGTGAAAGAAATTAAAGACAATTGACGAATAGTGAAAATCATAAAAATGAACTATAAAATGGACTTAAACAATTAATATTTACTAAAAATGGTGTTATAAATTTAAAATTTTACAAACTTAATATATCTGAATATATTAACATTAAAATTAATAACTTATGAAATGATTCTGTAAATTAATATTTAATCAAAGTTTTAATTAACAATTCTTAATACCTCTAATATATGTTAAAATATTATTAACAATATAGAATTTATAATTTAAATTTGACTGTCATATACTACATTTTTCTGTATTAGAATTTAATTTCTGACTGTAGAGAGAGCACAGAAATTTTTAATAAATCTTAACTCAAACTTCATAAGTTGTTACAAATACAGAATGTCTATTTTTCATAAAAATAGAATTTTTGTATAAAAATGTTCCTTTTTTATAAAATACAACTTTTTCATGCATAACCTATCAATTTATACTTTATCAGATGATTTTAACTGATTAAAAACGATTTTTAAAAAAAAATTGAAATTACTTATCTTGACAATTTTTCTAACGTTAGGGAGTAACTGGGGTGTCCAGACACCCCAGACGTATTTTAGCAGGAGATAGAGCTCTTCCTAGAGCAAAACTTTTGGCAGCACATACAGATGTCAAAAGATAGAGGTTCAAACTAAATTATCAACGGGTTTTGAGCGTAAAAAAATTATTGGTTAAGCCATGGGAATACTTTGAATTTTGCTTAGGGTGTCCAGACACCCCAGTTACTCCTTCTAGGGTTAATAACAAAAAACTACAAAAGAATTAAATTAGTTAAAAAAAATTTTAATAAAATTCTACCCAAACATTTCATTATTTTCATAAATAATAAAACTCTTCGCAGACTTTCAATTATTTTCAATACAATTTTAATGGAATTCCTCGAAAAATGTAATTATTCTTAAAAATTATATTAAAATTTATCAAAGAAATTCAATTATTTCAAAAACCTGTGCTACATTTTATTTATTAGAATTTAAGTATTATTTTCAATACAGATTTAATTAAATTTCTTCAAAAAATTAAATTATTTTCAAAAATTTTAATGACATTCTTTGTAACAATTCAATTTTTTTCAAAATAATTTTTATAAAATTCTTCATAGAAAAATTAATTTCAAAAATTTGTCAAAATTCAATTGAGGGTCCCTATCAAAGAACTGGTTATAACTTTTTTAAGCTCAAAATCATTGCCCTGTAAGTCAATAATTAAAATGTTTTCAATCCCAATTTTTTGAGAAACATTTTGATAATCTTTATACAAATGCGAAATGTTTTCAAGAAATTGAAATTTTAAATCCTTTTTTTATTTAGAGGTCGAGAATTTTGAGTCTCAAAAACTTATAACCGGTTCTTTGATTGGGACCCTCAATTATTTTCAATATCTACTATCTCAATAAAATCTCACAAAAGAATTTAATTATAAAAATTCTCAAAATTTTAATTATCTTTATAAATAAAAAAATTTTTCTTCAAAATTCAATTATTTTCAAAAATTTTAATAAAATTCTTGACAAAATTTCAATTATTTTTAATACAATTTTCATCAAATTTCTTAAAAAATAAAATTATTTTTAAAAATTTTATTAAAATTTGTCAAGAGAATTTAATTATTTAAAAGTTTGTTAATAAAATTGTTTATGAAAATTCAATTTTAAGAAACATTCAATTATTTGATATAATATTTATTTTTGTAGTTAAATAATTGAATTCTCGTAGAATTGTCTAATAAATATTGATTTAAAAATCAATTTCAAGTTTAAATCTTTGAAAATTTGAACTTTTCATACTTTTAATTAAGAATTCTGTAAAATTATTTTTAAAAAATTGACTTAAAGAAGAATTTTAGTTGAAAATTTTAGAAATGAATAATCGTAATGATGAAAATAATTTTTGAAGAAGTTACGATAACAAAGTAGCAAGTTTTAATTATTATGAAACATGAAGAATGCGATCACTCTGAGTAGAAGACTCGGAGTGATCGGTATCTTCATGTTTTATAATAATATTCTTATATGCTATTGAATTTCAAATAAAAATTTTTTTGATTAAAAACATTGAATTTTAATAAACAAAACAAGAAAATTGTTTATTTATAAAGAATATTTAAAAAAAACCACTTCATCCATGATATTTAAGTTGAAAAAAATTTTACTTATTCTTTAAACCCTTCTGAATAATATTTCGAAGAGTAAAAAAATTACACCCATTGAGAAGTAGCTAAAATAATTTTTTTGCAACACTAACCTCTAAAGCTATATAATTTTCTCTTAGAGGGTTTTTTTCTTCGGAATATTATTCAGAAAGGTTTAAAGAATAAGTAGAACTTTTTTCAGCTTAAAATTTCATGGGTAAAGTGGTTTTTTACATATTTTTTATAAACAATTTTTTTGTTTTCTTTATTAAAACTCAATATCTTTATAAAATAAAATTTCAAATCCTTGAATCATTAAAATCGGTCAACAATTCTTTACGAAATTTATTTTTTTTAAAAAAGTAGCAAAAATATTCAATTGTTAATAACAAAAGTAAACATTTTTTTGTAAAATCGTTGTACATAGTGATTGTTCACGTAAAATGCTACACATAACATGAAAATTAGCATTTAAGAAGAAAAAAAAATTTTTAACTTTTGGGTGGCACGTTTCAGAATTTAGTTTTCTTTAATTTATAATTAAATAACTAAAAATTAATTAAACAAATTGGTAAAAATTATTTTAAAATACTTTATATTATATAGGGCTCGTTGGATGCAGAATTTAGTAAGCTTTAAAATTATTATTTCAAAACTACTTTTGGGTCAAATTTTCTCAAAAAAAATCAATGTTGGCATTGGGTTTGTCAATTTTTTTGAAATTTGTTGTAAATGTAGTGTTGTGTAAGATAAGAAAGAGGGAAAAAAAAATTTCAACATTTTCGGTATGTGCGCTGCAGGACAAAAAATTCGATATTTCGGTTAGTTTTAAAGTCTCCAGGAATTTTTTTTTTGCAAAAAATTCTGAAGAAGATAAGGAATCTAAATATCATAGTTACAAAAAAATCAAAGGAGTGCTTTTACCCAAAAAAATGAAATAAAAATTTTTTTTTGGTCAAATTTTGAAAATTTTTTTTTTTATTTTTTATTGCATTAAAATTGTTGATACAATAATCATTAGTGGCATAAATATGAACAAAATCGAATGAAAAGTCTCAGAGTTATACTGTTAAAAATCGGACTCCAACTTTACACCGGAAGATTGAAAATTATATACTTTCAATCTCAAAAAGTGTGAATACTTTCATTTGATTGGATTAACTAAAAACTTGAAGCCAATGAAATAGAAAAGGAAATTTTTTAGTAATTATATTTTAAAAGTTAAAAGATATTGAATAGTCATAAAAAAAGCAGGGGTCACGCAATTACCGCCGGTAGTGTAAAATTTTGAAAAATTCATATCGTTGATATCTCGAAGCCGAAATAAGTGTATATTTTCAAGATATCTCGTGAACGGCTTGATAAAAAAAATTTGAAAAAAATCTTAAACCCTTTTTTTCAGGGACCGTCACGGAATCAAAACAAAATTAAAAAATACTTTTGTTTTGATTCGGATATGGGTATCAGAATCAAAATTGCACTCTATTTCGTTTTGGTTACAATATCAAAATCAAAATTCCACTCTATTTCGTTTTGGTTTCAATATCAAAATCAAAATTCCAGTCTATTTCGTTTTGGTTCCAATATCAAAATCAAAATTCCATTCTATTTAGTTTTGATTCCAATATCAAAATCAAAATTCTTTTTTGTTTTAATTTTGATAAAATACTACTGCGCATGTATAAGTCTCATTGAACCTAAATTTTGTTGCAAATGTCAAATATATCAGAAGATAATATCGTTTTTACATACGAAATCTGAAGTAGAATTCGAATCGACTTCTGTTTCTATAAGAAAACCGAATTACAGTATCAGAATCAAAATAGGAAGTAAATTTTGTTTCGTTACAGTATCGGAATCAAAATAGGAAGTGAATTTTGTTTCGTTACAGTATCGGAATCAAAATAGGAAGTAAATTTTGTTTCGTTATCGAATCAAAATCAAAATACATTAATAATTTCATTTTGTTTTGGAATATCGTAACGAAATCAAAATTTGATTTCCGTGACGGTCCCTGCTTTTTTTTGAAGAGTACAAGAAGGTAAAAAAAATTTGAGCCAAATCAAAACTGTCAATTTCGATTATATATTGAGTTGACCTGGAACACTCCATTTATAGTTTTCAATCCTCTTCTAACGCAAGTTTTGCATTAGTTTAAAGCACATGAAAAAAGCAATAACATTGAATGGGAAACATCGATGTTCCATCCTTCCATCTTTACAATAAATTGTGAATGCAACTTTTATTCTAGTACAAAGCAATGCAGGCAGCAGGACAAATTCCGGCTAATATTGTAGCAGATACTCCACAAGCTGCAGTGCCGGTAGTTGGAAGTACAATAACACGTCAAGCAAGGCGACTTTATGTTGGAAACATTCCATTTGGTGTGACGGAAGAAGAAATGATGGAATTTTTCAATCAACAAATGCACCTTTCGGGTTTGGCACAAGCTGCTGGAAACCCAGTCCTTGCATGTCAAATAAATCTTGACAAGAATTTTGCTTTCTTAGAAGTACGTATATTATTTCAAAATTCTGATCCATGTTATGATTAAATTTTTTATGTTTTACGACTTAACTCGGCTGATTTGAAATTACCCAATTTGTTAAGAAGCTGTGAAGTAGAAACAAAAAATTTAAAATATTGTCTTCAAATTCAGAGTGCAGATTTTATTTACAGTTCCGATCTATAGACGAGACGACACAAGCAATGGCGTTCGATGGAATCAACTTCAAGGGTCAAAGTTTAAAAATTAGAAGGCCCCACGATTACCAGCCAATGCCCGGAATGACTGACAATCCAAGCATGAATGTCCCAGGTACTGATACTTTATTTATATTTTAATCAAATTACAGGGTTGCCACACAACCTGGAATTCTTGAAATCTAATTTTAATTAAATATTTCAAAATTAATTCACTTTTAAAAGAGTTGCGTTTACAATTTTCATAAGTAGATCAACTTCAAAAGATTTTGATTTGAAATTTTGTATTTTAATTTTAAATGAATTTAATTAGAAATTTTAAAATACCTAGTTTTAAAAAAAAAATTAATAACTAAAATTCTTCTCAAATTAGTTTAATTTTTTAATATTATATATTTAATAGATTTATAGAAGAATTTTAGTTAAAATCACTAAAACAAATTGGATTTTGAAGCAATTACAAATGATTGCAGAAATTCAATTATTTTCATAAATTATTATTCAATTATTTGAATAAATAATAACATTTTTTTATAGGGATTCAATTATTTTTATAAATACATAATAAAACTCATTGCAGACTTTCGATTATTTTTAATACAATTTTCATCAAATTTCTCGAAAAATGAAATTATTTTTAAAAATTTTATTAGAATTTGTCAAGAGAATTCAATTATTTAAAAAATTTGTTGATAAAATTCTTTATGAAATTCAATTTTAAGAAACACAATTTTCCAATAAAATATTCATTTTTGTAGTTAAAGAATTGAATTCTCGTAAAAATTCAATTATGTTCAAAAATTCTTTAAAATTCTCGTCAGCATTTTAATTATCTTTATAAATACACGGAAAAAAATTTTTACTGTGGGGAACAGCTAATTTCAAAAAGCCATATTGGAAATATTTGACAGTTTACCATTCTCATAGAAATTTCTCTAAAATCACAAATGTCAAATTTACATTTCTTACCTCTAAATACGTATTAATTTACTAATTTTACATTTTATTAGTTATAATATGAAAAATATAATTAATAGAATTTGAATATACGCTTTGAACATTAATTTGAAAATGTTTTCATTCAAGTGTTATTTTGAGGTTATGTTGTTTTCAAAAGGTAACGCAAGAAATATCATTTTCGCTAGATCAGCAAAAATGGATTATCGATGGAGCAAAATCAGTGAAACTTATAGCTATTATAGTGATTGTTATCTCTACTTTAGTAGAACTTTTTTTAGCGTGTAATAAAATTCTTCTTGGAAACTCAATTATTTTCAAAAATTTTAATTAATTTTCTTGTCAAAATGTCAATTATTTTCCAAAATTTTCAACATTTCAATGATTTTTAATATCTACTATTGAAATAAAGCTTTAGAAAATAATTTAATTATTTAAAAAAAAATTTAATAAAGTTTTACGCAAAAATTTAATTATTTTCATAAATAATAAAAATTTTACAGGAATTCAATTATTTACAAATTATTTATTAATTTCTTCGCAATAATTCAACTATTATAAATAATCAAATTTTTTTACAGGGATTCAATTATTTTTAATACAATTTTAATGAAATTCGTCGAAAAATATCATTATTCTTAAAAATTTTATTGAAATTCTTTAAAAGAATTTATCTGTTTAAAAATTTTTTTAATAAAATTCTTTATTAGAATTCAATTTTGAGAAACATTCAATTATTCAATAAATTATTTATTTTTATATTTAAATAATTTAATTCTCGTAGAATTTTTGAATAGAAATTGATTTCAAAATGAGTTTCAGTTAAATATTTAGATAATAATTGAATACTAAAATTATTATAGCGTGAATTTTTAGAAATGATTGAATTTTAAAAAGTTTTCAAATTAAAACTTTGAATATTTGAATTTTTCATCATTTTAATTGTTAATTTTATAGAACTAATTTTTTGTGGAATTTTAATTTCAATTCTGTTTAAATTAGTTAAATTTTTGAAAATATATTTAACTAGAGTAGAGGGGGGTAATGTAGTGCACTGGCTTTACTGACTAAACGAATGAATTGAATTACTTGCCGTTGGTATGGTAGGGTTAAGGTATCAAATTATAGTAATGTACACGGAGAGAAAAAAAAGAGAGCCGTTTGATTTGGCAAGAGAGCGCTGTTTTCCCTTTATAAAGCGCAGCACTAGCGCCGCAAACGTCGAACGGTTATACTTTTTGAGGAGTATCGGTTCTCTTCTCCACACAAATAGAGCCGCTTACTTTCCAAAAAGTGTACCCGCTTTCCCCAAAAAGGAGAACCGTTCTCCCCTCGAGAGTAAGTAGCGTGCTTAACCTCAAGTTAAACGACTGTTTCGCATTTAACGCAACCGCTCTACCGACAGGTAGAGCCGCTTACTTTTTTTTCTCTCCGTGTATATCATTTTGGCTTTATTGTTCTTCTTCTAAAAGAAGTTGTGGCGTCACTTCAAAAACACTAGATTTTGAAACCATATTTCCGTTTTTTTAGTGACTTGAAAAAAATGTAAGGCTCGTTAAAAAAGTATCAGGAAAGTGATTTTCCATGTAAAATTTATTTCTGAACACAAATTTAGTATTGTTTTGACGCTTAATTTTGTTTTTATTGAGATATTGAAGTCAACGTGAAGAAAGTGCTTGGGGGCATTGTAGTGCACGGGGTTGGGGGCAATGTAGTGCAATTATACAGAGTACCGTAAATATGTATTATTTAACCATGTTTGCTTTTTGCAAATTTTTGCAGTTTTTTTTCAGTTTTATTTAACATAGGGCCAAAGAAATCTCTACTTTATAGTGCTGTCCACGAGACGAGATGATATCATGCAAAGTCTCGATCTCGTCTCGGTTTTTACATGCAAAGTCTCGTCTCGTGGGCATGACTACTAGTTTATAGTTTTTTAAGTTTCTTATGTTCCTAATATTATATCTAATAAAATACAATCGTTTATAATATATTATCTGCTTTTTATTTCACTAATAAAGTGGTGCACTACATTGCCCCACAAATTTTAGAATGTCGAAAAAAAGTGCCTTCAGTTTTTTGGATATAGAAAAGCTCCATCTACATCTACAAAAAAATAATGTACACCATAAATATAGCTAGAAACATTGTCTTTCCAACGAGTCCTTATTGATCAAAATTGGTTGAAAATTGCGACCACAGGAGTCTTCGAAAGAAAAGTGCACTACATTACCCCCTTCTACTCTAGTTATTAAAAATAATGGATTTATAGAAGAATTTTAGTTGAAAACACTTTTAAAAAATTGAATTTTGGAGAAGTTACAAATAATTGCAAAAATTCAATTATTTTCAAAAGTAAGAAAATTCTACGCAATCGTTTAAATAAGTAAGTAAGTTTATTTAACATATAAACATATACACTTGTTTAGGGGACCCTGAGGTCCATACAAGAGGAGATCCAAAGTAGAACATATACATTACACAGCCACACAAAAAAATAAAAATACCCTGGCCGAGGAACGAGACCAACCTTGCCTTATGTATTTTGATGCCCTGAACACGAATCTGAAGTCCGTTTTGCTCCATCACGTCAAGATTTTGACATAACCTCAAAAAACAGCGTATTTTAAGTGACAGGAGAACTTTTTTAAATCATGACAGATTTGCTTGAATCTAATTACTTAGGGGTTTTTGGGGTCGCTGATTACGAATTTAACGTCAGATTTATGAAATTCAAAATGGCGGATCCAATATGGCGGACGAATTTTAAAAAAATAGTTTTGGAATTTTACGAAAATTAGTATCTGGGTGTTTTTGGTGTCGCTGATTACGAATTTAACGTCAGATTTTATAGATACGAATTTTTGTAAAAATCCAACTATTTTTAAAAATTCGTCCCCCATTTTGAATTTTATAAATCTGACGTTAAATTCGTAATCAGCGACCCCAAAAACCTCCGAGTAATAAGATTCAAGCAAATCTGTCATTATTTAAAAAAGTTCTCCTGTCATTTAAAATCCGCTGTTTTTTGAGGTTATGTCAAAATCCTGACGTGATGGAGCAAAACGGACTTCAGATTCGTGTTCAGCGCATCAAAATACATAAGAAAAGAGTGGTCTCATTCCTCGGCCAGGGTGCTTTTATTTTTTTGTGTGGCTGTGTTATTCGTACTGCAAAAATTAAATAAAATTACAATGCAAAAAAGAATCATTTAACTGTCATATATTCACGATATTCCAATAATTCGCATAAGGTATTAATGCAGTCTTTGACAACAGTCAAAGAAGTCAATGCAGTCTTTGACAAATATTTTCGTAAACTGTCATAAATAATAAAAAATTCACAGAAATCCAATTCTTTACAAATTGACAAAGTTTTTAAAAATTTCTTTGCAATAATTCAAATATTTAAGAAAAACTAATTCTTAAGAATATAGAAATAATTTTTTTGAAAAAATTTAATTAAATTTTTTTTTTGAAAATATTTGAAGTTTTTACTTTCTAATATATATTTAATTGAAAAATTTCTGAATAATTGGAATTTCGTAAAATTGAGTTGTAAACAAAAGAGTTTGAAAATTATAGAAATGAATAATCGTAATGATGAAAATAATTTTTGAATTTCAAATTTTTGAAAATCTTAATTTCTATGAAAAAATAATACTGATTAAATATTTATTTAATAATGAAGTTATTGATGTTTTCGAATAATTTTCGTTTTCTAACCTGAAAAACATGTAAATGTCAGGGAATTTGAAAAGAGCAAAAACGTGGCAACCCTGAATTGATTAATCATTTTTCCCAAAACTAATTTTCAGAATTTTTAATAACTGGTATTTATTTAATTATTGTTTTTCTTTTTAGATTCACCCCATAAAATCTTCATTGGTGGGTTGCCAAACTACTTGAACGAAGAACAGGTATGTAGGCAAAAACGCATCGTAGCCTGTTTTTAAGGCACATTCTTGAACGCAACTCATGTTCATTGACGCACTCTGTTTATTTTAATGTTTCCGTCTCAAGTAGCTTAAGAGAAAAGGCGTCAATGACGAGAAAAGTGTTGCTCTATAAGTTTCAAACGGCAATGCAGTAGAAAATTCGTCGGACTCACTGGCGTTATCAGTTGACCGCGAAAATTAAATCTTGAAAAATAGGTACCAAAGTAAAATTTACCATAATCAAAAAGAAGTAAGAGATAAAACGTTTTTTGTTTTCTTATGTTTCATTTTTAAAAGTAATATGTAATAAGCAAATTTCACTAATGAATATTCAAGATAATTTATTATTAATTACATCTTTCTTAGGTTCTTCACGGTTATAAATATGACTCTAACTCTACGCCAAAAATATTGAAATTATTTTATTTTAATCTCGCAAAGTGTGAATGCTGGCATTTCATTGATTTGAAATTTTTATTGAATCCAATCAAATTGAAGTATTCACACTTTTTGAAATTAAAAGTACATAATTTTCAAGTTGGAGTTCGATTTTTATCAGTGTTGAATTATTATTATTATTATATAATAATAATTTCTAAACGCCAAGTAATCTAGAAATTCTTAAAAATTGGTTACGGTAAAATTTACTTAATTTAGTTTTTTAGCGGAGACTTTGTCTAACAAGATGTACTCAGTGTCTTCAGAGGTACGTATGCGTATCCATTGGATTTCAGCGTTGAATAGGCTCAAAGTTTAGATTGAATTCATAAATCATCGGTCGCTATTCATATCCAATAAATATCCTCATTCATTCATCAATATAATAGAACCTTTTCCCATCTTTTTTCTTAACTCTCCAAAAACTTTGAATAATTTTCAATTCAGAGCGCTTTCAATATTATAATTCTATCATACCATAATTATTGTGCACAATAAAGTTCTCATAAAATATTCCAAGTTTTCCAATGTTCAGGAAAAGTTGTTGGAAAAGGTTCTTTTTTGTGAAGCAAAAATTAGCAGAAAAAAAAAGTTAAACGAGTATCGTGAATGAGGGAAACTTTTCTAGTTAGAATAGGAAACAAAGACGTTGCAGGGTTCGTGAGGTCTATTGTCACAACAAAAATCGATTTTTCTTTTACAGTATTTTTAGGCTCATCGTGGACCCGGCCATGGGCGAACGAAGCCTCTTTTACCTGAAAATATAGGCAAATTTATCAAGAAAACGAAAAATTCAGATGCAAGGGTGAAAAAAAGGGGGGAGCTGTTTCAGCAAAGCAAAGAGAAAGAATTCTCATCAAGTGGATCGTTAAATATACTTCTTAAGGATGATGATACATTTTTAGGTCCTCAATGGAGACACGAAGAAATATTTTTAATTTTATTTTTCTCTTTTTTTTTTAATGGGTTTGTTCGGGAGGGATTTCAGAGTCAAGAGAGAATCTTCTGTGCATCTGTTCTCAGGGCCGGTTTTTTTCAGGAATATTCTTTTTTCCCCTTGCAGCTACTTTTTTTCAGGCTTTTTTCCAGGCTCTACGAGTCTTCTTACCTTTTTCATTAATAAAGTTTACAGGTCATGAACAGTTAACGTGCATGTGTGTGTGTATGTGATCGAAACGTTGTTAAATAAAAAAAGAAATTTTTTTATTTTTTGGCAAGCACAGATGGTATGAAAAAGTATAATTTTAGACTGATATCAGTGCCCTTTCTCCCCATTTTCTTAGCTTAGGGTCGCGCCGATCAAAAGCATTCGTTTACCACTACTTCTACCACTACTACTACTACTACCACTACTACTAGTACTACTACTGAATATGACAAAATACCACATAGCCTGGAGAGAGGCTTCCCATCTCCCTCGAGGCAAGTACTTTTCTCATTTTCACTTCTTCAGATTGCAACTATCTGACTTTTGCAGCCCTTTATTCGGATCTTCTGTCCTATAGGTGCGTTCAAATTTTTTTATTTTTGTATCGACTCGTGCAATAAAAGTACGTTGCACGATTTGCGGTCTCGATCATTCATTTCTTTATATTTTAGGTTTCTAATTGTACTCTGAAAGTTTTTCCTCGTTTTTTTCTAAGGTTTCTACATTCTGTGACAAAACATCAGTTTTAGTTTAGAAATTATATTTATGTTTGGCGTTAGGGTGGTACTTGTTACTTAAAAATGTTACGTGCATTCAGTACCCCATTAGTAAAAATTTATTTTAACAAATTATACAATTTTATGTACATGTGAGAGTCCAGGAGATATTTATTTTCGAAACACCCTAAAAAATTTACTTCAAACTTGAGAATATTACATTATATGTGTAAAGATTCAGAAAAGTAACTTTTAAGTAAAAATAATTAGTTTTCTTTATAAAATGTAATTATCCAACATTTTTTAGATGATCACATCTTTTAAGCCAATAAATGTAAGCAAGTTTTGTTTTATGCATTCCACTCAATAATATAAAAAAGTCATAAGAATATTTACATTTTGCTTCAGTCTAAATTTTGATCATCATGTTCCCTAAAGTGGGACAAATTTTCCCTAGCTTCTGTTTAATTTGAATTCTGCCAAACAACTTTTCGCAACAATTAAAATTCAATCATATTTAATTTCCGTTCCATTACTATTCTCACGAATAAAAATTCTACAACATTGATAATCGGTTTAATGGAAATTCTGCCAAGCTAGCATTCTAACAATTACATATTTTGCTAAAATGATATTCTAGAAAATAAAAGTAACAAATTCAGTTTAGGGCCTTTTCTTGTTCTAATATTTTTTTTATAAGGTTTTCCTCTTTTGACAGATGAAAGTCTTTTAAAGTCTGGTAATATTACCAAGTTTGAAGTAATTTAGTGTGGGTGCTCCGAAAACATTAAATTATCTGCTTGAATTGCACATATATTAATTTTATTTATGTTATTACATTTTTTATTATATGTCGGAATCTCACGAAATGGGGACATTTTATTAAAGAAACATTAAGTTCTCAAGTAGGGGACACATTGTTTTCTACAACAGATTATCATTTCTTCACATAATATAAGTATATTCTAGCGCACGTAACTCTTAGTTTCTAAAAGCTACTCGATTTCAATATAGAATAGCTGTTTCTCAAAGGCTTCCATAGTAGACTATTACACGGAGGAAAAAAACCAGGCCCCCTTACTAGAAAGTTTCAAGTAAATATATATGCAAATAACAGTCACCGCTACTTGCTCTAAGGTACATCCTAATTTGGGATACGAAAATGCGTAATGTAGGATCTCATTAAGGACATACTTTAGTATAAACTTTGGTACATATAATTACTGCTTAAAAATTGAAAAGTAATATTTAATTAAAATTACTATTTTATATTCGTTGTACTCACCATTCTCAATATTTCTTGCAAGAAATGAGAAATAAACCGGAAAATCTGTTTTTTGAGAATATATGGGTAGTTCTACAAACGAAGGAAGAAAAGGGAGAAAATTTTGGCACAATATTTTTTTGTGTGTTTAGGTTCTAAAATGTATGTTAAATTCAAGTTAACATTAACTCACAGAATAATGTATGCGGATTTCAATAACCTTCGGAGGCATCACAGTTGGTCCTCTTTTCCTCTTTTGTCCCCTTATTTCAATTTTATCACCTTTTTCACCTTTTTTTGACGATTTGTCACCTTTTTCCCCTTTTTTGCTGATTTATCCTCTTTATCACCTTTTTCTAATCAAAAATAAACAAGTTTTTCTTTTTTTGAAATCTTTTCCAAAGTGTAATCATTAAATTTAGACTCAATGTTATAGAAATTCAGTGCATTTTATTTTTATTTAGATTATTAACACCACAACATAATATAAATGTGTTTTTTTTACGTTAATGATTTAAATAATATAGATATCGTAAGGAATTTTATAAATTATAAGGTGGTTCATTCAACAAAATGCAGACCTCTAGAAAAATAATTAATTAACATTCAAATAATTAAAATATTATTATTAATAGTTTTTTCTGAAAAACCAAAAATTCTAATACAAAACCTTCAATTTTTTCCATTTCTGACAATAATTTCTTTTTAAATAACTTAATTCTTGAAGAACTATCATAAAATTATAACTTAGAAATTATTTAATGAATAATTTTATTTATACATTTCAAAATTAATTGAATTTTATAATAGTTTCGTTTACAATTTTCATAAATAGATGAACTTCAAAAGATTTTAATTTCAAATTCTATAAAATTTCAATTTTGAATGAATTTTATTAGAAATTCTAAAGAACTTAAATTTTTGCAAAAATTTTCTAAAATTTAAATTATTGTGAAATTAGTTAAATTTTTTAATATATATATTTAATTAATTATTAAAAATAAAGAAATTAACGAGGAATTTTAGTTTAAAACACTAAAGAAAATTTAAGTATTGGTAGGCTTCGAAGTGACACACTTTTCCACTTTTTTGACACTTTTTTTGGTCAAGCCTACTTTTTGCTACTTATTTTGTCAAAAAGCTACTAAATGCTACTTTTTCCAAAAAATGTAAAAGAAAATTTACAGAATTCAAGAATTTTAGTTTCTTTTTTGGTGAATTTCGTAGATTTCAAAAAACCCGCCAAGTGAATTAAATTTATTATTATAACATATATTTATAACATATATATTATAATATGTGATTATAATATGTGACACGGACAGTTAAAAGGGACCTACGGTCCGAAAAAAAGATTTCGAGAAAAACGACTTTGAAGTTTACCAAGTTAGTTTTTTTGCACTGTTTTTTGTCAAAGTGCCTAACTTTGAAGTGAAATTGTGAGAAAACTAATGCAGCTAGAAAGCTGCGGTTTATTGCGTTGGAAAGAGCGGTTTATTTACTATAAGAACAGATAAAAATGTGAAAATCGATTTTTTCGGATCGTAGGTCCCTTTTAACTGACCGTGTCACATATATTATAATAATTACTAATAGGGGATGTTTATTAAATTACAACTTTTTAACGTTTCGAATT